AAAATTCTATTTTTTTCAATTTGTGCAAATTAGAACAAATCATTATTTTGACACTAACATTATTAAATTAACTTTACTTTATCATTAGAACCCACTTCAGAACATAGAGAGGGGAAGGACTCTGCTCTCATTTATCCCATCAGAATAGGAGTTTTTTTCTGGACATATCTAGCATCTATATTATCGTAGTTGTCAAAACAGCAATTACAAGGATAATAATACAATGAAGGGCTACTACGTATCTAAAACACGGGCGCAAATCCTCTGTTGTTTATAACCATGCGGTCCCCTGTAGTCTACATTCTTGAGGCGTTGCTTTGGCCACGTATTTTGTAATTATAATATAAGAGGTAGGGTCCATTTTAACAATAGAAATGGTTTTTTCCGTTATCTTTAACGGAAAGAACTTTTTATTAAAAAAAGAAAAAGAAATAACAATTGATGATGAGTCATCAACACAATCCCTAAACAAAACAAAAGGCTAAACTCATCAAACAAAACAAAAATCCCTCTTCTGCTGTCCAAAGAACCCTAAACTCACAAAAAGCCCTTTTTTACCGTCCAAAGAATCCTAAACTCAAGGGGTGACAAAACCTTGAAATTGGAAGCTTTAGGGAAAAAAAATGTTCAATTTCGCAACAAGTGTTGTTGAAATCTTTGTTTGCTGTATCAACTTCAGCAACCCACAAACCCTAAATTCAAGCAAGGGTTTCGAACAGAGAACAACAAAACCATAAAGCAAGATTTTAGGGAAAAAGTCCAAATTTGCAACAGGATTATAGGTGAATCTCTAGTAGCATTGTCTATGTTTAATTTCATTTAATCAAATTTAATCAGATTTGATCTCCTAAGAATGTTACGAATTGGGTTGTTAAAGTGGTGAGTTGTATTATTTACATGAGAATGTCGATGATATTGACTATAATTATTTTGGTTAGATTATTTAGTTCTGCTTGACAATATTTTAAACATAATTCATTATTTATTCTTGAGAGGAATTCTATCAGCAGTAATAGAACTCTCACATTGTTGTTAATTTTTAAATACTCAGATTAATCAAGAATACTAAGGTGGTTGAGGTGATTAAAATCATTCATAGAGTTACAGTCTTTTGTGTGTGTGTGTGTGTGTGTGTGTGTGTGAGCGTAATCCAATAATTGTATTTACAAAGGTATGGCAGATGATGGAGCTTCAATAGAAATGGATTTGGGTGAGAGTATTGTTGTGCATAAAACATAATTTTTATTTTATTTTTCCTTTTAAATTGCCACCCCAGCCCTCTCCTTTTGTCAAAATTAAAACAATGTCCTTTGTAGGTTTGTTTCAACTAAGATCAAGGCATGTTAAAGTTAAAATAATGCCATTTTTTTTTATGTCTCTTTGAACTATGGGGAGGACATGAAAGATGGAGATTGTGTTTAAGTTTGTGGTTATACTATTACCAACCAAATTAGATTATCCCTTGTAGCATTATCTATGTTTAATTTTATTTAATCAAATTTATTCAGATTTTTTATGGATATCATAAGCATACAAAGGTGTGTTTGTATGTATATATACTCTAATCTGGTGGAACCTTAAAATCTTGTCACATTAGTTTATCAGTTCTTCCATTTAAAACAAAATTCTAACTGACCCATTTGATCCAGAGAGCAGAGAGCAACAAAACCATAAAGCAAGATTTTAGGGAAAATGTCTAAATTTGCAACAAGATTATAAGTGAGTCCCTTGTAGCATTGTCTATGTTTAATTTCATTTAATCAGATTTTTTATGGATATCATAAGCATACAAAGGTGTGTTTGTATGTATATATACTCTAATCTAGTGTAACCTAAAAATCTTGTCACATTAGTTTATCAGTTCTTCTATTTAAAACAAAATTCTAACTGACCCATTTGATCCAATTTTAAAGGATATAAAACATAAATTTCTTTTAGCCAAAAAATATGTATCACTATCACAAGATCATAGCCCACTAAAGTCTAGGATAGTGTCCCCATTGTCATTACTATCTCTGTCCACCATGCACCATGTCATACCCTCCATGATCTTTTCCTATGTCCTACTAAAAAACCGTCTCCTATAAAGATATTTCCCTTCGTATGGCATACCTTAAATAAATTCATACACATTTCCTAAAATTGCGATTTATCAGTGTTTATCTATTTCCATTTGGACTTGGATGCATTAACACTAATTATAATAAATATATTTTCTCGCATTATAAATTGTGAATCTTATGGGAAAAAAACCCTTAATGTAGTATTTAACTTAGAATCATTGGCTGGATGGTTTGAGCGGAATTATCACTATCAGTAGTATTTAACTTCGAATCATTGGTTGGATGGCCATTACAGAAATCATATGCCGACTGCTTTGGTGGCTGGTTTCGTCCCATGTAGCTGTATCGAATAAACAAAATCATAGTAAGAGCTATAATCAACACACCTCCTAACCACTTCTTCATCTTCAAAAACTTCTTGAATCTCAAATATTATGCACAACAAACTGTTTAACTCTTCAATTGTACAACTAACAATTAAGCATAGCATGTAGTGGATCTAATGATTCGCCATTTTTCGCAGTCCTCTTCTTTTTTCTAGTCCATATACAGATAACCCCTGCCATGATATTTCTTCAAAAAATTAAAAGAAAATCACAATGTTCATAACCCATAGGTAACCAAACAAAAGGAAGTAAGAAAATGCTAATTTTCTTTCACATCACACACACACACATATATAAACACAGATAAAAGTATGGATATAATTAGGAATATTCTGAAAAATCATAAATGCGCAAAATACATAAATATAGTTAAGGCTAATATGAAAGCATAGAACTTTACAATTATTCAAAAGTCAAATCACTGGGATTACAGTAGAGATTCTTCCAATTCTATGCAATGTCTTCATTTGCATAGATGTTGAAAGTACTTCTCTTAGCTTTTAGGAAGCAAAATCTTTATACAAAGCAAAAAATAAAAAATAAAAAAAAGTTTTGCCTATTTATTAAACTTCACAATGTTTTCTCTTTTATAAATATCAAATAATAACCTCTGAAATGTGTAATTGCCGCATACATTTAATACCAAAATTTTTGAATAACACATTGGTGTCTAATGAAGCCAACTCAATTCAAACAATCAATTATGCAAGATTTTACATTCACTAGAATGCTTATCGAAGATTATAGAAGAAAACCCTATAATTATCCAAGATTTTTGATACCCTAGAATGCATAACCAATGTCAATTTCAACTAAAAAAGATCATAATTTAGATTAACAGATGACAAATGAAAGAATTAAAAATTCATAAATTTATGTGTGACATTAGTTATTTAGTGCTGTGTCAATACTTATTTTTGATGGTGAAGGTGATCAATGTGCCTATTTATTAAACTTCACAGTGTTTTTTCTCTCATAAATATCAAATAATAACCTCTGGAATGTGTAATTGCCGCATACATTTAATACCAAAAATTTTGGATAACACATTGGTACCTAATAAGGCCAACTCAGTTCAAACAATCAATTATGCAATATTTTACATTCACTATAATGCTTATTGAAGATTATATAAGAAAACTCTACAATTATCCAAGATTTCAGAAATACTAGAATGCCTAACCGATGTCAATTTCAACTAAAAAAGATCATAATTTAGATTAACAGATGACAAATGAAAGAATTAAAAATTCATAAATTTATGTGTGATATTAGTTATTCAGCACTGTGTCAATACCTATTTTTGATGGTGAAAGTGATCAGTATGCCTATTTATTAAACTTCACAATGTTTTATCTCTCATAAATATCAAATAATAACCTCTAGAATGTATAATTGCCGCATACATTTAATACCAAATTTTTTGAATAACACATTGGCACCTAATGAAGCCAACTCAGTTCAAAAAATCAATTATGAAAGATTTTAGATTCACTACAATGACAGATGAAAAATGAAAGAATCATAAATTCAGTTCTAAATCTACAATGTTTAGTTCAAAACATAAATTTTTCAGTATTTTGAATAATACTATTAAATGCACAATATTAATAACATGTATTAAGACTTACCAACCATCAAGCATTAATTAGGTTAATTGTAGATACCACCTCAGATCTATTGTAGATTTATTTCCTGTTGATGAAGAGGAGAATCTTATTGAAGAAATCACCAATTTCTGAAAGTATTATGTCAATCTGGATTTTGATTCAAAAAAGAAAATAAAAAAGTAAAAAATAGAGGAGGGAGGAATTAGGGTTTTGAATAAAAAAAGAATTCAAAAGCAATATGTTTTGTATGGAACAAAAGAGACGAATTAGGGTTTGGATTAAAGAAATTAAAAGGAAATAATGGAACAAAACGAAAAGGGAATGAGAGAAATAAGAAAACCAAAAGGGAAGAAAGGGAAAGGGAAAGGGAAAGGGAAGAAGCGGGGCGCCAGAATTATGTGTTTTTCAAATGTTTATTTTTTGAGCAAATAATATTCCTTTTTTTTTTTTTACTTTGAAAAGAATTAAAAAAAAAAACGCGATACATCTTCCCACACAAATCATCTAAAATTCCTTTGAATTATACTTGGCATAACACGGCATCCCCATAAATCATGCCACCCCATCCCCATTACTTTCTCTTTCTAAAAGACCGACTGCAAAAAATAAATCTATTAGGCGAAGCCAAAGCTGGGATGAAGCTGTTCTGATGAAACGAACGAAGAGATGATGGTGAAATTGGATTTTGGGTTTCAGTCTGCTGCCAACAACTGCAAAGGTCGCCAGAATTGATCATACAATCACAGCCTCGCCGCCGTTCGAAGTCGTTGGAGCTTCATTTGTCCTCGCCTGGTTCATTGTCATTGCGCGACGTTTGTTTGGTCGCTAACGGCATTCTCTCTGACCGCTGTTGCCGAGGATGAGTAATCGTTGGCCATCACCGAAGTTGAGTAGTCCCTGTTCATTGTCAGAATAGTCACTACGACCGTTGTTCAGACTCGATGCATGCAAGTAAGTTCAGACCAGCTGCTCGCCGGAGTAGCCCTTTGTCGCCGTTCGTTCTCATCGCCGTTCAATTACGCCATTCCGACGTCGGAACTGCGTTTCCTCCTTGCGTCGCCATACGGTTCCTCCTTGTCATAGCCAAACTCCTTGCTCGAAGTTCAGTATGTCACCGACCTTCTTATATTTCAATACCGATTTTTGATCACGCCATGCCGTTGGGTATAATTGTGGCTGTGGATTCCATAAAAATAGAGCATTAAAATTCCTCATCTTGTTGGTTCCCTTTCTCTTTAATTATGATTTTCTCTTGGATTTCACATATAAACCCTAATCAAATCAAAGAGAGAAAGAGAGAATATGAGAAGAATCGAGAAACCGAAAGACTAATCTATGAGAGAGAGAAAGGAATAAACTAAAAACTAAGAGGAGAAAGAGGGGGTTTTTGGCTTTACCAAACTAGGATAGATTTTTAGTGAGAGAGAAAACCAGTGGACTTGGTGAGATGACGTGGCTATGCAAAGGCTGACAGAGGGAGTGCCCACCCCAATTTTTTTTTTCTTTTTTTTTTTTTTTTTACTGTACTAATATTAGCCCAGCCCTAATATATTAATAATATTAGCCTACTTCAGCCTCCCACCCAAGCATAAAACATGTTAAAACAGCGAGCGTAGCAGGATTGGAGATGAATTTCTTGCTGACTACATGACTATCAACCTTGAACGGGAGCTTGTTTGAAAAATTGACTTGGAATCTATCATTGACGAATTCGAGTCTTTAAAAACTCGTCGAGCACAACTTAAATAGATATTTTATAATATTTGAATTCAAATATTTATCTATATTATGTTATAATTTTATTTTTTTATTTTTTGATTAAGAAATTTTGTTATTAAATTTATGTTTAATATTAGCCCACCCCCAATGAGAAATCCCGAATCCGCCCTTGGCTATGCCACATTGGTATCAGATGAAGTTTCGGTTTTTTGAGTCGGAGGAAATATCATTTCCCATATAAAAATGTTATAAAGGACTTTTCGACTGTTACCGTTAAAAATGCACATTAGAAGAACATGTGCTTGGCATAAGACGGATTACTTAATAAATATTAAAATTACCCTTTTATTCCCAAAATGCCCTTCCTTTTTGTATATAAATCTCAAAAATAAAAGATATAATAATAATTTTACATTAATTGAATTTTTATTTATTTTTAATTGTAGGAAGGACATTTTAGTATTTATATCACCCCATTAACGACCAATCAACGGGAGGTCCTTATTTACTCTTCCAATAAACGAGATTATATGAGCTATATGTACACTATAAGGATGTTAAAAGCTCGCGAGCCTACAATGAATTACATATAACTAGATTATTATTTCATTCTTCTTGTTAACATATTTTGATCATCTTTATCTAATTTCATTTAACAGCTACTAACTCCACTCTACCCACCCACAGATTTAGAGGATGATGAATAGGAGGAAGATTCAGCTCAAATTTTTTTGCACATTGTAATATGCATACGTACCCTTGAGGAGTTTGTTTATAGGTTTATGAGCTGAAAATTTTAGTTCTTATTGGTGGTGTTAGCTATGGGAAGATTGCTTTTGACGACTTCATTTGCTTGATTCTTACCACTAGAAATGGGCTGAAGTTTCTACATTTCTATTTTGTTTTCGACGTTTCATCTTCCTCTGAGTAGGAAAAAAGACACAGGACCATCTAGGATGTGGGCTCCATGATAACTATGTGTTGTATAAAATGCTAGTAATTAGTTATGGGAGGCGATATTTGTATTCCACTTTTCTACAATTACACTACATTTTTTAAGAAAATAACAATTCTATCCTTAATTTTATAAATAAATAATTATTTATTTTCAAATACCACAAATACCCTTTTAGTTATAGAATCCCCAATTAACCTTTTGGGTCACTTCTAGCATCTCTTTCAATTCTTTCTATTAAATATCTCTCATATTTCTCTTTCTATCTCTGCTTAGGTTTAGTATTGATCTTTGTAACTAATAATAAAAACTTATGAAAATTTTTACACATGAAGACATGGTGGAGTTGAATAAAATAATTGATCTTGTTAGTATAGGAAGTATGGATGAACTATCAAATCTTCATGAGTCATTCTAATTGATCTTGTTAGTACGGGAATCATGGATAAAGTATCAAATCTTTATGAGTCTTTCAACTCCATCTATGATAATGGTGATAATAATTTTTTTTTCTACCTTTTAGTATTGTAGGCCATATCCAAGGAAAATATATTATCTCCTTCAAAAATTCAATTAAAAAAAATAAGGGATGAAACCAAAATCACAAGAATGAAAAAAGAAAAAAGAAGAAAGATAATGAGACCAAAATTAATGGAAAAACTAAATCCGACCGAAAGAACTTTATTTTTATTTATTTTGGAAAAATTATACTTATTTGAGTTTTTTTTATTTATTTATTTCATGGTGTCTAAAACCAACTAACAGTAATCCATCACAAATTTCTCTTCTTTTTTTTCTGAATCAGAAGTCCATGTTTGATTATTATCCCTTTTTCTTTATGATTCATAAGTCCATGTTTGATTCTTATTTGAAAAGTAAAAACTATAAAAAATACCAAATTTAATACTAGGATTTAAGAAAGAATGGAACAGTAATGGTCCCTTCCTTTTAATGATTTATTTGGGTATTTTATGTTCTTAAAAAAACTTCAAATAATTAAGTATAATTTTTCAAAGAAATTAGGAACTTTTCAAAGAGACAAGGTATGTTTCACATATTTTTTTTAAAATTTTTATTCTTTAAAAACGACATCTAAATTGGGAAGAGACACAAAACCATTTAGTATGTGGGCTCCATGATAACCCTGTGTTGTATAAAATAATTAGTTATTGCTGTATAATTCTCAATGATCTTCTTCTTCTTCTTCTATTTTATTATTATTATTATTATTATTATTGAAGTAAATAGATGATCCGTTGCTCCGAGAGTAGACTTCTGTGAAAAAATGAACAGTCAAACAAGATTTTTAATTTATTTATCTTTTTGTGTCCAGAATGAATGATGATATGATTAATTATAGTAATAATAATAATATACCTGTCCGAATCGGTCAATCTAGTTCTTCTCAGTTGGGAGAATGTTTTTTCTCCTCTCTTTTTTTTTATTCATTGAATATGTTTGCATATTCACTGTTCGTTGTTTGGAAGATATTTTAGTGGAATGTTGAATTGGTAAATGGGTCCACCTGGAAGAGGTCAGCCGATAAAAACAGTGTGCCACTGCCTAATCGTCCATTTCTTCCTTCAATCACTTCTCACTCCTGTTGACTTACGGTTTTTGACCTTTACTATTTGGGTGAAGTGCACTGACACATCTTTTGATTTGTTAAAAGGACATTCAAATAAAATTTATTCAATTTTTGGAGAACGACACTCTCTTGTTAAATTTGACAGCCAAACATAACCTAAAAACGTATGAAACGTTTAATTTGCTCTACACCATTTTATTTATTTCCTATTTTAAAAAAGAGCACATGTTATATATGTCCAGGGAACATCAAAGTGGGGGACAAAAGCCAGAAAAGACCCCACCACCAGGCACCAACTCTCTCGGCTTTAGTTCAACAATTTTGTGTAGCTCCATTTTTTGGCCCTTTAACCAAAAAAAAAAAAAAAAGCTCCATTTTTTGGCTGGACACAGGATCTTGGTCTGATTTCTGCAGTGCTATTTTTGGTGGGGCACAGGAGTGATAAATTATTACAGTAGTAGTTTATTCAGTTTTTACAATTTTTTTTTTTAAATGCATTATGTATACGTAACAATTCCACAACACATCTACCATTCAAGTTAAAAATATAATTCGAAAATCAAATCTTAAAAACTTAGGTTAAAAATCCCTACCAATGCTGTGGGAACTATTAAGTTTTTTACTTACATAGTACATATGACTACCTTTTCAAATTAAATGTTCACATAATTTTTTTTTAAGTATTCTTTTTTACAATATTATAAATTTAACATTTTTACATTCACCTCATAAAAATAAAACTATCACCTCACCTGAATTCACTATGGATATATTCGATAAATCATTCCCTACTCAAATAATAAAAAAATGTTAAGACCCATCCTCTTAAATAGTTAAATTCTAAAAAATAGACATTTAAAATTTGAGGCTTAGGGAGTAATTAGTCAAAATTAATTGTTCGAACTATATAATAATTTATTTGCTCAATTATTTTAAATATTTTAGAGACAAACTTTATTTTTCGTGTAGACATAGACATCTCATAACACTAACGATGGAAGAAATAATAATTGATTTTTATTTTTTTATTAAAGTGTTATTCACGAAATTACTAACAAAAAAATAGAATTTTTGATTCACATAAAACTTACACAATTGAAATGATACATTCGCATGATGTCACTTTTATATAAACCACTTAGGTTTTGTATAAAGAAAGTATAAGATTAATTATGAGATAAAAATTAAAAAAAAAAAAAAAATGAATAGTGTTAAATCACCAATCTTGTTTTATTGATTAAGGAAGAAAAAATAAAAAGTAAATGAAAATTTTGACATTTGCCACGCATTGACTTTTTGTTATGGAAAGGAACAGTCTCTTAACCGTCAAAGTCCAAAAGACCGCGTATGAAAGTACACTCATTGATTGACAATTGCCAACTCAGCTCCAAGCTGAACCATCACCTACATGGCTAGACCTACGTCATCCTGTACGTATGGACTCGGGAGGAACCCCACGTGATAATGAGATTTGTATAGTTTGGGAAAGTTCGGACCAACTTGAATCAATCCAGAAAACATCAACCCCGTGTGGATTTAGCGTGCACGTGACATCCACGTTGACCTCCCCCAAAACATATATATTTTCCACCTCTCACTCACTATCTCACTCAACCACCAAAACTCCACACTTCACAACCACAGCTCTATTATGCAGAAGTCAGCAAAGCGACCCAGGCACGACGGAGCTCCGACCGCCCACCCATCACCGGCACCACCACCACGACGACCACGACGATTCACCCCGGAGCAAGAGCTCTCTATTATGGTCACCGCCCTCAAGAACGTCATAGCTGGTGGCGCCTCCTCCACCACTCACGAGTTCCTACTCTTCCCGGCAATTGAATATTGTAATTCTTCTTCGCCAGGTTCCACTACATGCATGTCCAGCAGTACCGATCAATCCGATACGATCTTAAGCCTCTCCGAACCCGACACGTGTCAGTCCTGCAAAATCATAGGCTGCTTGGGTTGTGATAATTTCCCGCCGATTGTAGAAGAGGTGGTCAAGAAGAGCAGTACTAGTACTATTACTCGCCAAGTGATCAAGAAGAAAAAGAAGAATTACAGAGGTGTGAGGCAGAGGCCGTGGGGGAAATGGGCGGCGGAGATCAGGGATCCGCGGCGGGCCACTCGGGTTTGGCTGGGCACGTTTGAGACGGCGGAGGACGCGGCCCGGGCTTACGACAAGGCCGCCATTGATTTTCGGGGACCAAGAGCCAAGCTTAATTTTCCATTTCCTGATAGCACATACACATTGGGGCAGAGCTCAGAGTCGACTCAGAAACAGGAAGGAAATACCAGGAAAAGGGAAATGTCGACGGAAATGGAAATGAAGACGGAGAAAGGAAAGGAATTCTGGGAAGTGATCGGAGAAGATGAGATTCTACAATGGAATGTCATCTGACTCGGCTACTGGACACATTCTTACAAATTCTTTGTGTAGTACTAGTGTCTAATTAACTAGTTACATAGTTACATTCTTTCATTTCATTTATATTCTTTCCTCTGTTTTTGTAACGGAAAATTGTATAACTAGTAAAAATTTTACATTAACTAGTTATGGATTATTTGATGAAATTAGTTCATAGTAATTTTTTTTTTTTTTTTTTTTAATTTATTCTTTGTATCTTGTCACTACGTGACCAACAAAACAATGATATGCCAATTAACATCGAATTTTCTGCTACAAAGCTTATTTCGTTGTTAAATTGTACTAGAACTCAAATTTCATGCTAATTGCGCTAATCCAAATATTTGTGACGATAAATCCTCATTCTATACATATTGTCTTTATTCATTTTTGGTCCTACTTGCATTCTCTGTGTGTATATATATCCAGCCCACTGTATATTCACTCTGTTCACATCCAGGGTAACCTTCTCTCTGGAAACAAAATTCTCCCTCTTCAGTCTTCACTGCAAAAGCAATCCTCTAGTGCACATCTATTTATGCAACTCAAGCGGGCTGGAGACTCGAGTGAGATATGAAATCTTCAACCCCAACCCAGCCTAATCAACCCAAGCACAACTTATTTCGAATTTTTGTTAAGCTTAGGTTGAATTTGGGCTGAAATTTTGTATTGAATTTCACTTTCCAATTCAAATTGTTATTTCATGTTAGAATTCTTGCTACTGTAATAACAAATGAAATCAAGTTTAAAATTATTAAAATTTTCTCTGTACCTTTAAAATCGTGCATAAAAAACCTCCAGTCAAATTTAAAAATTCCATAAATTATAAAAAAGTTATTAAGTTGTCTCATATTCGTAACCTACCCGCTAACTTAGTTGTTATTTAATGTTAAATATGATAGATATGTGTAGTATTCTCATCACAAGAGTGTAGTAATTTTTAAAAGGGTAAAATACAAAAAAACACTCACGTCCAAATAGAAAATGTGCAAAAAAACGTCCATACTCAAAATCAAGGGCATATAAATCTGTATTGTGATATTGTCAACCTTTTGAGTAAATTGTCACCCAATCAACGATTTTGACTAATTTTTTTTATAAAAGTTCCAAAACGCCCCTAGCTAAAAATAAAAAATAAAAATAATACTATGTATATTATATATATAAACATTATATCTCTCTCCGACAGAGAATATCCCGGTGTGCGACACAGATTTTTTTTCAATGGCGTCTATTTTGCTCACGCAACAACTAATTGTTGTTGGAAAATCACACTTTGAACAAAAACAATGTGTTCCGATCATTTTTAAAGCAAATTATTTGATAAACAATGTACAATTTTAAGATTATATATAGTACATATTCTTGAAATTCAGAGAAAGAATATGAACATTAAAAACTTTATTCCATCATTTATTCAATGAGTATTACATCCAATTTATAGAATATGATTAGCTAAAATAGGTAACTAATTATCTACCAATTAGTCCTAAATCAAGGAGTAAGTAATTCAATCATACAGCTGTACTATAAGAGATACAACATCAACATTCATCCTCAAGTTGGTGCATAGATGTCACACAGGCCCAACTTGTCTAAAATTTTTGAAAACACTTGATTTGAGACTGCTTTGGTGAAAATGTCGGCTAGTTGATCCTCAGATCGAATCTTAGGCAACTCCATAATTTTCTTATCCAACTTCTCCTTAATGAAAAATCTGTCTATTTCAACATGTTTCATACAATCATGTTGAACTGGATTATGGGCAATATCACATGCTGCTTTATTGTCACAATATAGTCGAATAGGTTGCCTAGGTAGATAACCCAAATCCCGCAATAGAAGTCTTAACCACAATGTTTCACAAAGTGCCTGCGCCATATTTCTGAATTCAGTTTCTACACTTGAGAGAGCAATAACATTTGTTTCTTGCTTCTCCAAGTAACAAGATTACCTTCTACAAAAGTAAAGTAACCAGAAGTAGATTGCCTATCGTCTATAGTTCCAACCCAGTCAGCATCGGTATATGCAGCTATGTTTTGACAACCAGCATTTTTAGTGAACAAAATTTCTTTTCTAGGAGCAGATTTTAAATACCTCAAAATGCGTATAACTACATTCATATGTTGCTCTCCAGGATCATGCATAAACTGGTAAACAATGCTCAATGCATAGGCCAGATCCGGTCTCGTGCGTGCTAGTTACATCAATCTCCCTACAAGTCTTTGGTATCTTCTTTTATTAGCAGGTACTTGGTTGGACTCAATACATAACTTCAGTCCTTCTTCCACTGGTGTCTCAGCTGGTTGATATTGTGTCATGCCAGTCTCTTGTAATATATCTAAGGCATATTTTCTTTGAGATAAAAAGATTCTTTATTAGTTTGAGATACTTCGATCCCAAAAAGATATCTTAAAGGACCTAGATATTTTATTTCAAATTCTCTGGACAAGTACTTCTTAAGAGCCTTCATTTCTTCAGGAACATTCCCTATAACCACCATGTCATCTACATATACAATGAGTGTAGTGATCTTACCCTGTTGTTTCTTCAGAAATAACATGTGGTCTAAATTGCTCTGACGACAGCCAAATGTTATCATAGACTTTGTGAATCTTCCAAACCATGCTCTTGGAGATTGTTTCAACCCATATAATGATTTTTTTAACTTGCAGACCTTCCGACTATATTTGTCGAGTATCATGCATCCTGGTGGGAGATCTATGTAGACTTCTTCAGATAATTCACTATACAGAAAGACATTCTTTACATCGAATTGTTGTAATGGCCAATCCAAGTTCGCAGCTAAAGACAATAAAACACGAACTGTGTTTATTTTTGCTGCAGGTGCGAACGTCTCTGTGTAATCGATTCCATAGGTTTGGGTGTAACCTTTTGCCACCAATCTTGCTTTAAAGCGTTCAACTGTGCCATCTGTTTTATACTTTACAGTGTAAATCTATCGACATCCAGCTGGTTTCTTTCCTGGTGGAGGATCAATGAATTCCCAAGTTTCATTTTTCTGTAAGGATTTCATCTCCTCGTTCATAGCTGCTTTCCACCTAGGGTCAGCTAAGGTTTCTTGCACACTGTTAGGAATAGATACAATAGATAATTGATTTACAAATGACAAATTTGATTATGACAAACGATGGCTCGACACATAATTGCTTATGGGATACTTAACTTTATTACAAAGTTCGAGTTCATATATGGGTTTAGGAATACCTCTAGTGTGACGCGGTGATAATTGTTTTCTGAGTGGGTCAGGCACTAAATCAGGAACATCTTCAGCAGGCGATTGGTTTGATATATCAGTTGCGAGGGACTCGAACTCGGACGACGACGGGTGTAATACCCCTAATTTTAAAAAGGATATTCCTGGTATTTAATGGTATTTAATTTATTATTTAAGTGCATTTTATTTGATTATGTGTCATTATTTTTTTTATTAGTTGCTTAATTATTTCTTTTGTGGTGATTTAATTTATTTAAATGATATTTATTTTTAGTTATTTGATTGGAATTACTTGTTAGTGTTTTAATTATTTAATTGGCATTAATGGTTTAAGTGTAATTGGTTTAATTATTCTATGTGTGTCTTATTTTATGTGTGTCTTATTTGGTTTAATTGTGTTTACTAATTATTATTTTGTTCAATTAGATTATTTGTTAAGTATTTAATGGTAAATAGGGTAATTAGGTAAATACATCTAACTAGGGTTTTAATTACAGTATAAATTAGGGTTTTATATTATAGCCGTCGTAGGTTTCTACGTCAATTGGATGGGCCGGTTAGCATTGTGAGTTGGACTTAAATGAACCTAGGGTTTAGGAAAACTCTATAAGTATAAGGTAGACGTCTGTGTAGGGTTTTTTTAAACAAAGCACACGTTTTGTGGAAGTGGAGAAGGAAAAACGCAGTTTTTCACATTCTGCCAAGGCTTGATCAAAGCTCCGATCCCGCTTCGTCCGTGGTCCGATCGAGTTGAATTTTGGAGGAGAGGTTTATGACTCAGTGACGCACAATCTGAACGGTGGTGATCAGAGTTTACCCCCGGGAACAGTGATTCGTACTCGTGAACAGTAACTGGGTCGCACAGGTTTTTTTTCCATTCTGCCCAGATTTCATCAAACATCCGATCCCGCTTCGTCCGTGGTCCGATCGAGTTGAATTTTGGAGGAGAGGTTCACGACTCAGTGACACACAATCTGAATGGTGGAGATCAGAGTTTAACCTCAGGAACAGTGATTCGTACTCATGAACAATAACTAGGTCGCACAGGTTTTTTCCATTCTGCCCAGATTTCATCAAACATCCGATTCCGCTTCGTCCGTGGTCCGATCGAGCTAAATTTTGGAGGAGAGTTTCACGACTCAGTGATGCACAATCTGAACGGTGGAGATCAGAGTTTGACCTCGGGAACAGTATTTCGTACTCGTGAACAGTAACCGGGTTTTGGAACTTGCCGGGATTTTTTAAGAAGACGACGTTGAAACTTTGAACAAAAGTTTCTGAGGCAAGATTCTATCCTTACTCTTTCCCTTAGGTTTCATACTCTTTGCACTCTTAAATGATTCCAGGATTAATGAAGATTAAACCAAACTAAAATGATATCTGTTTTGCTATGAAACTGGTAGTTACAGTAGTGTTGTATGCTTGTTCAACCTAGACTAAGCATATTTGTGGATCATTGTGGTTCTGTGGTTCACGTTTTTCTTTACCACTGCTAGTATAAATTATTGGAAGGATGGGTCTAGATGATAGCTATCTTAACTTCTGTAATAGCAACTGTTGGAACTTAAATACTAGGAGGATTTGAGTTTAACACTAGATTGGTTTTGTGGAACACTATAATTTGAGCATGTTTACATACATACTGTGAATATTATTTTGATGCTTACATTATCACAGTTAGTATCAACTGTGGAGGTTAGGATTTTGTGATATATACCCTACATATCTATATGTCATTTGTAAGGTGTTAAATGGAAGTTTTAATTAATTCTGTCTTTATATCAGACCAAAGGGAATAACTTAAATTGGGCATGTATATGTTGTTGTTGTGACCCTGTTTATCAATGCTTATTTTATCACTGCTAACATTGAATGTTGGATGTTGGAATTTAGTTGATATATACTTGATTTATTGGTATTATTGACTACTGGAGGATTGGAAAGTAGGCACCGGTATGGGACGGTGGCATACTAAGGATGGGTTTGGTTTTTAAAACAATACCATTACCCACCTACTTGGAATAAGGATGGGATTAACTAAAAGTTAAG